GCTGCTGCTGCTGCTGCTACTCCTGCTGCTTACTAATACTACTACTACACTACTGCTGCTACTGCTAATGCTACTGCGACCACTACTACTACTACTACTACTGCTACTACTACTACTACTACTACTACTACTACTACTACTACTACTACTACTACGACTACGACTACGACTACGACTACGACTACGACTACGACTACGACTACGACTACGACTACTACGACTACGACTACGACTACTACTACTACTACTACTACTACTACTACTACTACTACTACTACTACTACTACTACTACGACTACTCATAATACAACAAATATGAATTGTACTGATGATGCTAACGATACGAGTGATAATATTACTCGTACTAAGGAACACAATGCGAGTAGTACGAATAAGGCGAAGAAGAAGACGGATCATAAACATACGGACAATTATCAGCATGATAATACGAGGAAGAAAACTAATACGATGAAGAAGAAGAAGAAGAAGGGAGAAAGAGAGAGAGAGAGAAAGAGAAAATGAGAGAGAGCGAGAGAGAAAAACAACAACAACAACAACAATCATTTTACCCGAACGCTCAGTGTTCTCACCAGTGCCAGGGTTTTCATGCGACGCGAGACAATACCCCCACTTCGTGGGGGGGCAGTTCAAGCTCTACCAAATATCCAAACGACTCTTCGCGACCACCCAAACCCAGCTTCCCGCCCTATGACGTTGGGACACTTCACTTCGTGGCGTGCGGACGACCGTGGCTACTACACTGGCGTGGGGTACACACCCACAGAACTTGGTCACTTATTCGGGGCGCGCGTGTGCCCAGCATCCTGCAATTGTGACATACAATACATGACACAGACAGACAGAGAGAGAGACAGAGAGCAGACAGAGAGAGAGACAGAGAGAGCGGAGTTGGTCACATTTTTGGGGCAAGTTCCTGAGATCGTCGTGTTTTTTGTTGGTCTTGCGCGCGCGAATGTCCACTTTACTTTTTTTTGCAAGGGAGTATTGAAATTTGATTATGTTAGAACAAGAAAAAGTAGCTCGCGCGAGCTCATGTAACATAAATGTTGAAAAACCATTGGTTTTGTGGGAGTCGGACAGCGCGCGCGGGATGAAATTTGGACATTTTTTTTTGAAAAACCATTGGGTTTTTGATGTTTTTATGTTGAAATCGTTACGAAACCTAAGGTTCTGGAAGGATTTCGTCTTGCGCGCGCGAATGTCCACTTTACCTTATTTTTTGCAAGGGATTATTGAAATTTGATTATGTTAGAACAAGAAAAAGTAGCTCGCGCGAGCTCATGTAACATAAATGTTGAAAAACCATTGGTTTTGTGGGATTCGGACAGCGCGCGCGGAAGGACATTTTGACAATTTTTTCTTAAAAAACCATTGGGTTTTTGATGTTTTTATGTTAAAATCGTTACGAAACCTAAGGTTTTGGAAGGATTTCGTCTTGCGCGCACGAATGTCCACTTTACCTTATTTTTTGCAAGGGATTCTTGCAATTTGATCAAGTAAGAACAAGAATTTTCATTTTATAGTGTTTTTTGCAAGGGAAAACGGATTACAACAAAACAACCGGATCCGGACACAATCCACTTTTCTGAAGCTTTCGCTAGAAAATGAAGGAAATGAGGCTGCGGCCTAGGTTTTGGAGGGGGGTCGCGCACCAGGGGTCTCAACAATAATATTTCTTTAGAAGTAATAATATTCAACAACAACAACAACAACAACAACAACAACAACAACAACAACAACAACAACAACAACAACAACAACAACAACAACAACAACAACAATAGTTGCCAGGGAAGGCAGTTGCCAGGAGGCGATGGACAGGAAGTGGGGAAGGGGTGGCAGAGGAGGAGCCAGGGAAGAGATGGGAGGCTGGGCGGAAAAGGGGGGTGGGCAAGGGAGGCGAGAAAGCAGCGGCGAGACGGGGTGGCAGTGGCTAACTCATGGGCGCAGGCTGCAGGGCGACCTAACAATGGCGAGCACTCAAGGAGGAGAAGGAAGAGGAGGAGGAGGAGGAGGAGGAGGAGGAGGAGGAGGAGAAGGAAGGGGAGGAGGAGGAGGAGGAGGAGGAGGAGGAGGAGGAGGAGAAGGAAGAGGAGGAAGAGGAGGAGAGGAGGAGGAGGAGGAGGAGGAGGAGGAGGAGGAGGAGGAGGAGACGCACGAGAACGAGGGGGAGCAGGGGGAGGAGCCATTAGAAACACAAGCAGAAGGAGACCGCCAGCTGCGACGACGAGAGAGGGAGGCCAGTCGCTCCGCGGCCCGGCGGCGCCTCCTCTGGCACGCCCGCCTGCCGCGCGGAACGGCGCGGGGGGCCCAAGCCGCGCCCGCCCCACCGACCCTCACAGCTGCTCAGGCAGGAGGAGCGGCGGCGCGTGCACTCGGAGGGAGGACGGCGACCAAGTACCAGCGTGGAGGAGGCAGAGGAGGAGGAGGAGGAGGAGGAGGAGGAGACGGAGGAGGAGGAGGAGGAGGAGGAGGAGGAGGAGGAGGAGGGAAAGGGCGGGGCGGAAGGGTGACGAGGAAGGACTGCGGCGGGCTGCATGACAGGACGACATGTCGGGCCACGACACGAAGAAGAGGCGCAGGGCCGGAGCGGCGCAGTGGCGATACACGCAAGGGGGGGGAGCGGATGCAGAGGTGGGGACAGCGCGAGGAGGAGTGGCAGAACGCAGAGAAGAGACGGGCATGACGACGAGCGGCGAGGGAATTGCCACTGGAGGCAACGACGAAGAGAACGAATACCACCCCCACGTTCCGAGCCACAGCGCTGGCCTTGGGAAGAGGGCCTCCAAGAAACCGAGGTACGAAAGTAGCTTTGGAGCCAGGGTCGAACCCGCTGCCATCCCACCGCCCGCTGCTTATCCGTCTGCCACCGTCCGTTGCCATCGCACGCCCTGACCACCAGCCCGCTCCTCCTCGTCTGCGGTCGTCTTCCTCACCCGCCCAGATCATGATCCTCTTCTTGGTTTCTCCTCCCCTTCCCCCTCCCCGTCCTCTTCCCCAGCTTCTTCCTTCTCCCCCTCCCCCTCTTGCGGGGGGGGGAGGTCGGGGGAACAGCACATGCGCAGGAGAGAGGGCGATGAGCAGGAGGAGATGGGCGACGACGGGGAGCAGGAGGACAAGATGCAGGAGGAACAGGTGGAGCACGAGGGAAGGAAGAGGAGGACGAGGAGGTAGAGGAGGAGACGGAGAATCACGATCAAGAGTGATGATAGTCATGATGATGGTGATGATGACGATGATGGCCACGACGACGATGATGCTGGTGATGATGATGCTGATGTTGATGTTGATGTTGTTGTTGTTGTTGTTGTTGTTGTTGTTGTTGTTGTTGTTGTTAAAATGATGATGAGGATCATGATGGGGGTGATGGTTGTGGTGATGATGATGGTGCAGATGAAGATGAACATTAAGTTGAATATGAATATAACGATGACGATGCTAGGGGTGAAGCAATAATGATGACGATGCTGATGGTGATGATGTTGATGAAGATGATGATTATGATGCTGCTGATGATGATGTAACGATGATCGTGCGCTCTACTTCGCGAACTACGCACTGGTTTTAAACATATGCGATGTAGGAAGGTAGCCGATCAAAGCTGACAGGCGTGCGCGGCAGAGGGGGAGGAGGGGGAGGAGGAGTAGAAAAGGAGGAGGAGGAAGATGAGGAAGAAAGGGAGGAAAGAGGGCAAAAGCAGACAGACATCAAACCAACACCTGGCACGAAAAAGATTCTGACCTGGCCTCCCTGGCCTTCCGATCCTCGAGCAATTTCTTCCGCATTGTCGGCATATCATTCCGGGCGCCAGCGGCCCACTCAGCATCCCCTGGAAGCCGTTGCACCATGCAGCCCAACTGAGAAATCAAATCATGATTCTGTTCAAGTGCTCGCTGGGCATCACGAAAACCCTGCCTGAGGGCTGGAAGAAGAACACGAACACGATCGGCGCCTTCCGCACAAGTTTCACCCCGAATATCGGCACGAACGGCAGCCTCCGAAAAGCTGGCATGAACAGCTTCATCGGCATCACCTTCAGCACCTGCGCCCAGCGGATCGGCACAATCAGCTTCCTCAGGAGCAGCGGCGCGAACGACCGCATCCAAGGGACCAGAACGAGCACAAACACAGACGGCATGCACGGCAGCCTGCCCAGCTGGAGAGGCAACAGCTCCTCCAGCTTGAAAAATACCACCAGCACGAAGACGAGGCTCCTTGGGGACAGAGCCCCGCGCCAAGCCTCCGCTAGACCAGGGGTCACCCTGACCAGAGTGCCATGGGTCCAGGTTAGGAAGAGGTTAGAGAACCTCCAAGCGCCTCTGGCAGAGCCAGACGCACTCGGAGGGGCACCGGCCCGAAGATATCCGAAAACCAGAGGTTTTGCGTTTTTGCTAATTTTCTTCTGGGCCTCCAGCCAGCGCCAGAGACCCAGAAGAGCGTTT